GGGCGGGGGGGGGGGCGGCAGAGGCAGGAGCATCAGCAGCGGCGGCGGCGGCCCGGTGGGGGAATCTGACTCCCTGGCTAAACAGCTTGAACGTTTTTTCTCTTCGGCGGCGCCCTTGACGGAGGCCTTCAGGTGGGCTTGAGAGAGGCTAGCTGGGTGACTGGAGGCAATCGCTGCTGTTCTTGGTGACCGCGGGGTGCAGACATAAAAAAGCAGCCGCCCGGCCCGGCCGGGATCCCAGAGCTGTGCCCAAGCCCAAAGCAGGCGGGAGGGGCACCGGGAAGGCGAGCTGCGCCTGGAGGTGGGGGGGGGCTTCCTGGGACCTCCGCCTGAGCGCCCCTTTGGACTTTGCGCAAGGTGCTGCAGGTAGCTGAGAATCAGGCTGTTCTTGTGAAAGGTGTGACTCTCTCTGTGTTAGGTAAAGAGGGACTGGTGGTTTTGACTTTATCCTCAAACCTCATAACTGTGAATTTCATTGTATGGGTATACTGTGTATATACTTACAATGACAATACATACATACATACATACATACATACATACATACATACATACATACATACATACATACATACATACATACATACATACATAAAAATAGCTCAGGATTTTTCAGAGCTGAGATATTATGTGTCCATAAATACTAAAACAGAGCTATCATTCTTCAGAAGTAATTACATAGTTTCTGCTTTTTCTAGAATTGTGGCAGATAAATTGGTTTAGGGTTTGTTTTTTAAGCTTCTCAAGGTACCCTATTGAGACCAAAATTTCATATGTGAATGTTTATCACTCAGGCTGTCAGCGGAAAAGTCATCACATAAATATCACATATCTCGGGCATTCCATAAAAGATGCACACTTGTATATCCTCAGTTGTATCAAAGAGTAATGGGATTTCCCTGTTAAGATGGACATATGAAGAGAATTTCAGGGAATGTTCTGACTATAGGCTTGTTCAGACAAGGTTTGACTAATTAGGCACTTTTTGATTTTATGTAATGGATACTGTCCCATATTTAATTGCATGTTACTGTTACAATGCACTGCAGTTTTAGCCCGTTTGTTTTTCATAATATCTCAGCTGCCTTGGGTCCTTTTACTGGGAGAAAGGCTCCGTGAACAATAGAATGTTGGCATAAGACTGTGCCCTGCACCATAGCTGGCAGGCAATACCACCCTGTTTTTCTCATCAGTTACCTGCCTGAGTTTCCTGCACAAGAGGGCCTGCTCCTTTCTCATACCCCCACTTTTGCCTCCCTCTTGATCTCCCTCAACTGCAATTTCATTCTCTTTCTCCTTTGTGGAGATAGGTGGTTTTATTTTTCTTAACCTAGAATTAAATTTGCAGGTCCCAAGATGTTCCTATACTGCTTTCTGATTATTTTTTTAAAAGGGTGGGAGAAGGAAGCTCAGGAGAACATTCCCACCCTGTGATGTTGCATCTGTACCTCCCCCTCATATGCCCACAGTGACATTGTGCATATCCAGTCACATTGGATTAAAACTAAGAAAAGAGCTCTGCAACTCAGGCGTGTGTTAGACATTTGCAGTTAACCCTGAGTAAGTACATTTTCTCCAGATTATTATAAGGGCATTCCTCCCCCTGCTTCAGTGCTACAAGCCAAGTTAGGGTGCTCATCCATAGTCAGGATTTGTATAGCTGATTGTGTTCTTTTCACTGACCTGGCATTTATCAGCAGCACTTGCAGCCTGGGGGGATGGACTGTCGCTAATCCTTTCCAAGCCATCTAATTTAAGAGTCAATTTGGGGCAATCAGGTTATCTTTCTGTCATGCTTAAATTGGTGTCTCCACACACTGTAATTCCCCTACACCTAGAATACTCATGGTAGCTCTTTGACTCCTTGTTATGTCCTGTTAGGTAACCTCCAGTTTGTGGTGACTCTATAAATGAGTGACTTCCAAAATGTCCTGTCCTCCATAGCCCTGCTCAGGTCTTGTCAACTCAAGCTTGTGGCTTTCTTTAAGGAGTCAGTGCATCTCATCTTTGGTCTTCCTCCTTTCCTGCTACCTTCAATTTTTCCCAGCAAGTCTTTTCCTTCTCATTAAATTTTCCTTCTCATCCAATTCACGGAGTCTCCATGGATTGGAGATTATTTGATGGCATATAAGAACTTTTAAAATGTGTTTTTAGTATTGATTTTGTTTACTGTTGTAATATATTTGTTTAATTTTTATATTTGTATACTTAATATTTTTAGCTTTAAAATATTGTTTTTTTTTAATAATGCAAGCCATCTTGAATCCTCCTTAAGGTGAAAAGTAGGGTTAAAATGTTGTATTTAAATAAATCAGTACATACATACTGTTTGGATTGTGTGTGTTCTTGTCCTGTTATCTAATTTTTTTCCATGTTGGACTTTTGGGATGAGTGAGGTTATAAATCTAAGGATGCTAAAATCCAGCACATGCTTATCTGAGAACAAGTACTGTTGAAATGTGTATAACTTCTGAAGGAATTGTACCACAAGTGAGTTAGAAGATATTTCCTGTTTGGACAAGTTGAGTCAGGCTGTTTAGCTTGCAGGTCAGCCAAATGCAATGTTGCCAGAGCTGTAGTTTTGTTATGAATGCATAAGGCTTGGAAAGAACTTGCAACCTGTTACTTTAGAGGCATTAAGAAAAAGCAGGAGACAGAAGAAAAAGCTGTGTGTGTAATATGGTGAACTGTGGTACTGTGTTAGCTGCTGTCTGGAAAGCTACAAGTCATTGGCTGAAATTCTGTAAGGGTCATGGTGATGTTTTTGGAAATAAAAAAAAGGGAGATTAAAAACTCCCTCCTGTTCCATGGTCCCCAACAATTTCCTTATAACAAAAAGGATCCTGCGGAAATCTTTGGACTTTTGCTGGGGGTGGGGAGAAATTGGAAAGGTTTTATTTCTAAAATATCACCGCTGATGACTAGAGATGGGGGCACAGCTGGACTTAATGAGGGTCCCGTCTCTGGAGCCAGACGGTCCACTCATGTGTCCGGCTGCGGCCTTGCTCATCCTTCCAATCACACCCGGAGTGCCGCTCGGCTAGCGAGGCTGCCACCACCACTGGACACGTGAGTGGACGGTCTGGCCCCAGGGGCTAGACCCTTGTTAGGACCCTTGTATGTGGATATTCATATTCGTATACAAATACCCCCATCTCTACTGATGACATAATCAGTCTAATATGACACTGCTATTCAAACAGGATTTCAGCCACTATATACAAGGCATCAAACAACACAAGTCTTGTTGAAACCATGGAAATGCATCTAATAATAAATAATATCTATCAAGTGCATAAAAAATTAAGTTCTGTACAAAATATGCTAATAGTACAATTCTCATATCTGATCACAGGTACACCACATTGAGTCCAGTAGTTCTTACTCCTGGACAGTAAGTATTGGATGACAACCTAAATAATTTAATGGCCTTGCAGTCAAATTTAGAGGGAAGCATCAGCTACTAAAGAAAAAAAGTGGGGCGGGGAGGGAAAACTGCAGTATATAATAAGCAACAAAACAGAGAACAGAAAGGAAAACAGAGAAATCAGAGAGGAAGCACCACTTAAGAGAATGAGTACAGTTCAGTGTAAGTAACATTATCTTAAATTATATGTGCAAAGGAAAAGATCACCAACAGAGGTAATTTTCAGAGTGGGAAATTGGTTTGCATTTAGAAGAAAAGAGGAAAAGATAAAGTGGGTGTTAAGAGTACAGAGTACCATACTGGAATCCCTGTGGGTGCAAAGAGCTCTTAGAGAAAACGTGAGTGAACTTTCTCATGGCTATAATTTTCAGCCGTTGTTCATATGCACGAAACAGAAATCAACTTCTTAATTTTGACTACAGTTCTAAACCACTTGGCAGGAAGCAAGTGCCATCAAATACAATGGAACATGCTTCAAAGTTAAAGATGCACAGGATTGTGCATTTAAAATCTTGTGTTTAGAAGGACCTTTGAGCAAGTGACAAAGGGGCAGAGCACAAATCTCAGCTTCTCCACCCTTCCATGGTGCAGCTAAAAAGAATTAGGACCTTCTATGGTGTTGGCACAGAAGGAGCAGGCGTCCTAGAGTAGGTCCCCTCTTTCCCCTTAAATGTATCAAGTGCTCTGGAGCTACTTCCTACAACCTAGACGAGTGATGGAAATGTCAGAGGCCATGAGAGAGAATCTGACCATTCTGTCTTGGATGCCTAAACTTGATGGCAGAAAAATGTACATGTGAAAAAACAATCTGGTGGTATGAAGGGCTGGAAGCCACTAAGCTTTCTTTTCTTCCTAACCTAAAATACTGTACAGTAACCTGAAAACGTGCAGATTCTTTCTGGACTAAAGATGCTCGTGCAACTGAAACACCAGTCTTGTTGGTTAGTATTCTGTTGTGGCTTATAGAAGTAACAGCTGAAAGCAAGGGTTGGGGGGGGGTTTAAAGGATGAAAAGACTTCTGCAGTGGTGTATGAAATATGGATTGGTTAGTTGTATTTGTCTTCATCCCACCCTTCCCCTAAGAGCCATGTTTCTGTCGCACAAGTACCTCGTGCAGCCAGTCTGGCGGAGAAGACTGTTCAGCTAACATTCATATTTGTGAGGAGTTTGAAGCTGCCTTTCCATTCACCGGGCCCAGTGCTAGCAAATGTGCCACAGTGATTCTCAGAAACAGAGGCCAGCTGTTCCCCTTTCTGGAGAGGTCTGATTTGGCCATGGTGACACGTGCCCTAGTTATATCTTGGCTGGATTACTGTAACATGCCCTATGTGGGTCTGCCTCTGGAAAGTATTTGGATATTTCAGTGAGTCCAAAACGCTGCAGCCAGATTGCTACCTGGGGCTGGTTACGGGGAACATATACCCCCACCCCTGTTACAAACAGCTCTACTGGCTGCTGATCTGTTTCTGAGCGCAATCCAAAGTGCCGGTTCTAACCTATAAAGCCCTAAATAGCTTTGTTCCATACTATCTCATGGACTGCTTCTCTATGAGACTCCCTCTCACCAGGGGAGGTCTTTCTTTCACACCCACCACCCTCACAGGAGTGCTCGGTGGGGACATGGCAGAGGGACATCTCTCTTGCTGCTCCCAGACTCTGGAACCCAAAGTGCCAGTTCTAACCTATAAAGCCCTAAATAGCTTTGTTCCATACTATCTCATGGACTGCTTCTCTATGAGACTCCCTCTCACCAGGGGAGGTCTTTCTTTCACACCCACCACCCTCACAGGAGTGCTCGGTGGGGACATGGCAGAGGGACATCTCTCTTGCTGCTCCCAGACTCTGGAACTGGCAGAGGGGCTTCTCTGTTGCTGCTCCCAGACTCTGGAACTCCCTCCTACAGAAAGCCTGCTTGAGTAGAAAGGTATCCACCAAATTGCTCTCTTACCTAAACACTGGAGGCATGGAACTATCTCAGGGCTGTAAGCTCCCATATAACTTAAACTCGAAGACTTTCGTCTAGATCCACAGTTTCAAAGTTCTTTGAATCTATTTTGCATTAAAAGATAAGTGGTGCAGACTGAGGGCAGAGTCACAGGTTACATCACGTTACAATTATACTGGTGTCACATCCTGCAGCCCTCCCACTGATGCGAAAGCGCAGCCCTTCAGATGTTCTTGGACTGCAACTCCCATCAGCCCTACCTAATATAGTGATGAGGAATGCTGGGATTCATAGTCCAAAGACACCTGGTGGTGCAGTGGTTAGACCGCAGTGCTGCAGCTAAGACTCTGTTCACAACCTGAGTTTGGTCCCTGCAGGCTCAGCCAGCTCAATATTGACTCAGCCTTTCAAGGTTGGTAAATTGAATCACTGGCTTGCTTGGGGGTTAGGGGCTGCAATGTATAGCCTGCACAATAAAATTTTAAACTGCCCAGAGAGTGCTTTAAGTGCCATGGGGGTGCATACAAACTGCACACTGCTTTACCACTGCTCTAGTTGCTGTCATACATACAAACTGCACACTCTTTGCTTTACCACTGCTCTAGTTGCTGTCATAGATTAAGCTGTTGCTACAGTACTATGTACATTTACAATACCTTGCTGCAGCTGCAGCAAGCATATATTTGGAAAGTACCTTTCTCAATAGAAAAAGGTAAAAGCTTGGGAAGCAAGTCAGCAGGCACCAGATATAGGGAACTGTAAAAACTATGATCCAGCTAGAAAGAAGCATCTCTCATTTTTGTTGATTTTAATGGGAGACGTTTAAGGAAATGCTTATTTTTACCATCGACATTGTCAGTGGGATTTAGAGAAGTGTATGTTGGGATTGTGTCATAAATATGTAGCAAATATGTAGAACCAAAGGAGAAGAAAGATGTTACTGCATTTCTATACTGCCTTTCCAGTTTTAAAAAAAAAGCCTGTCAAGGTGGATAACAAAATAATTTAAAACAAATAGTTGCAGGTGGATACTTGCTGTAGAAAGGCAGGATTAACATGGGTGAGCATTTAGAAAGTGAAATATGTCTAAATAAACAGACCTGGGAATTCTTGGCTTTGCAGAATGGGCACTAACATATTTTTATTTTAAAAAGATTATGATAGAATGTTGGCCTGCAACTGATAAC